CCCCAAAACCCCAAAACCCCAAAACCCCAAAACCCCAAAACCCCAAAGGGAAGCCTAATATTGATTTTTTGTAATTTTTACTATATTATATTCTATACCAAGATGATGCCTAATATTTGCATTGAGAAATTAGATTCAGACAGTGATTCTGAAAATGAGGAGGTCAAAGAACTGGGAGATACTGGCATGATCAAGAAGTCTAACACTCTCGGACCTGATCCGATCTCAATGAGTACCCTCCGTTCCTCTTATACTTATAGAAGACCTTCCTTCATGGAGTGCTTCAAGCTTAGAGAGCAAGAATAGTAGTTGTAAAAGTCAAAACTTTGACGATGAAGGAGCAGTTTCTGAGACGAGTCCAACAGGGAAAAGATATATAAAACCTCTTAGGAACCTGTCTGATACGGTAAACATTAGCTGACAAATTCCCTAATACAAATTACTTTGCAAAAATATTCTAAATCACTTGAAATAGCCCAATTAGAAATCATAAACCTAGATTATCGAAAAATAGGGTTTTGTGTAAAGGAATCTCATTTACTTTATGTGGCTCTGTTTATCATTAACACTATAGAAATTCTCAATCTTGTCACTTTCCTGTAATTTATTATACAAGGACCCTGACAAAAAGAAATATACCATAGAAGAAGTAGCAAAGCATGACAAGAGGGACGACTGATGGACTATCTTTGATGGGAAAGTATTTGACGTCACAAGGTATCTCTCCAGTCACCCTGGTGGTAAATGTAAGTATTTCCCTCCAACTTTCTCTAAATATACATAGAACAAATTGATGTTGGCTGCAGGAAAAGACTGCACTGCGTTATTTAGTAAGTCCTTTATCAACAAAACTGAAAATGTTTTCTAACTTCTTTTTAGAAAAACATCACGATTGGGTGGATATTATGAAAGTTATTGGTTCCCTCCAGGTTGGGACGCTTGATGAATAATACGGGTAATTAGAGAAAAAAGCAAAGTTCTTGCTATAATGAATGTTTCAACCTAGTTTTTTATTTATGGGGTTTTGGGGTTTTGGGGTTTTGGGGTTTTGGGG